GTAGTTTAGTAAGAAATACAGGAAACGAGTAGCCATCAGTTTAGTGATAAAATTCGATTTTTAGGCATACGGTGTAAAATATAATTTTAGTGATGAGACACTTGACTTGACAAAAACAAGAATTATTTAAATTAATAAATTTAATTAATTATTGGTTTTGTATATTCGTAATTAACAAAAAAACAATTTTATAGAGATTCTGCAGGTTTACCAATTATGGTATGTGCAATTTGAAACAAAGAATATTTCACTCTATCGCTGTTAGAAAAATTAATTGATTATTATTAGTTTAGAGAGACAGTATAGTTGTTTTACTTAGGTGGAAAAAAGTGTAGATTGTTTTAAAAACTGTCAACAGTAAATATTTTATAAGAAGACTGAACATTAAACGATTAATAAAACTATATATATTTATTTAAAAGTGACATTTATTCCGCAAACATTGCGTGACCGATTGGAAATTATTCATTTAAAAGGGTACACTGGAGTATGTTTTTTTTAATTTGATTTTTATTTAGACTAAAATTGTAATTGTCTTAATGGTCATATAACTGAGACCCAGTGGCGGACTAACGGGGAGGGGGGTATACGTGGGTTGTATCCCCCCAAGGCCCTAACAGTACACAAAAATATAACAGTCACACTTAATGAAGTACTCAATATTTTTTCACTGTCCTCGAGAGAATTAGACTTTGTTTTGTAATTAAGAATCCAAACTTTTGTTTACATGCAACATGTATATAATAATATGAATATATGTTTATATTGAATAGGTATGGCTGTTAAAATCTTTATTCCCACCCCTCCTCCCATGGAAAAATCTTAGATACGCTACTGCTGAGAACATGATATTGCATGACAAATCCAGCTTGATAAAATAATGTATGCTAATATAGAGATACCTACACTATTAGTGTCACACAGTTGGGATTGGGTTGTAAATTTTTGTTATTTTTTTAACTATCGTAATTGAGTGTTTAAAAAACCTTAAAAAAATCGTCAGATACTAATAATAAACTATGTTATATTGTTTCGTTAAAAGTAATTTTATAACTAACTTTTATTTAATTAACAATACCAGTATTTTATATCGTACATGTTGCTGTATAAAATATTTACAGCATCGCATTTTGTAATACTCTTACTATTTAAAATTGTATTTTATCGAAGGAAATGAGTAAACTACATACTATTCGATTGAATGTGTTTATTAATTTGTTTTTTGTTATGAGCTCTAATATTTTGTTCACAAGAAAATCCTATAATATTTGAATAAACTATGTGTTTACCGCCATACGGCGTGTGTACGGCTTATCAGTTACCGTGTTATCTTTTATAACCGTATTCGACCTAACCTAGCTAGATAACAGCGTCCCTATCCCAGTCGTTTATCACTATATTTCTTTCGTTTTGCATTTCGGATACGTTGCTGCTCGTGCCTCGTTGTAGTTAATAATTTTGTAAAATTAAAAAACTAGGTATTACGAATTTGTAGTCAATATATTTCCTTCAATTCAATCTTTCGTATCGATTGGTTGCGAGTGCAGACGCCGGTTAGTATTTCGTATTGTACGTTTTTTGAGTCTCCATAGACCGGTGACTTTGGTGTTGACACGATTCGTTTACTTAATAAAAACAAAAAAACACTGGTCTTTGTCGAAAAGAAAGCTTTTATGCTATTACATCTTTTTCGTTAAACCGATGCGTTTGTGGTGTAAATACGGTATACTATTTGTACAAATGTAATAAAAAACCTTATATTATGACTTGTACAATTTTAACATACCGGACATGAAATGGTGTACTCGTATAGTCTTGTCCGTGTTAAAGGTAATAAGAAATATGACATTACCAAATGTCACGTATTATAATGTATAACAAATACGATACACATATTTTGGTCAAATACAATGCGTGTCAACCCGAGCTGACTTGCATAATATGTTGAAATGGAAATAAATTTATATATTAAACCTTAAATGTAAAAAAACGAGCATTTATTAAGGTTGTCGGTAGCCAAGAGTTAAAAACTATTGTCGGCTTTGTAATTTAGTAAACCGTATATTTCACCATTTGCTGTTGTAAACGATAATTATATTGGAGTACACATATTAGAATAAACTTAATCAATTGTGATATGCTAAACAGTAATTAAAATTTAGTTTACCCATTGTCTTTACTACAGACTTGAATAAACAACGTATGAAATGTTACACTTTTTTTCTTGATTCATATATACTTATGCAACTAAGACGGTTGTAATGTTAACACACTGATTATAGTTAGCTGAATATATATGCCTTTGGTGTCACGCCTAAATCTTTTTGGAATAACTTGAAGATATGTCCAAAATTTTGGTACACTATGACAGTTATGTTTGTCATTAAAAAAACTAATTGTTTTAACGTAAAATATAACTGCAGACCTCTTCGACACACTGTATATTGTTAAAATATTATAATATATGTATTGACTTTTAATACTCTATAAATGTACATTTGTTACTTACTTTTTGTTATTAAAAAAACAAAGTTAAGTTAACATAGAAGGAATTTAATTTAAGTCGTTATATTGAATATAATTAATATTGTGTATTTGGGTCTTGGAATATAAGTATGTTATAAGTAATAAATATAGTATAACCTTATACAGTAGTATATGCGAATATTGGAGAAGTCATTATGTAATATTTAAATGTTGTTTGGTACAAGGACCAACTTTATTTGTAACCTATAGCATAGGTTTGCAAATTCTGTGATCAAGAACATTGACAGAGTAATTGTAATTAATGGATGTAGTAACTAGCTCAGTATGATGTTAGGAGTTAACAATTGAAAAATTATTCGTTGATTAAGTAATGTCAACGTTCAGTTTTTAGAAGTTGTTAACATTAAATTTAAAAATTGGTCCAGACTTTTGGGACAGTATTTGGACTGCTATTCTGCAACTAATCGGTAAAATAACATTATATTTAGAGTTATAAAAAATTATAATACAATTGATTTCTAGAACGAGTAGAATAGTTGTGCGTGTAGTTTAGTAGTGAATATAATTTCTAAAAAACTGAAGAATGCTAGAAAACTAGTACAAGAAAAAAAAATAAAAAAGAATTTTTTTAAAAAAATGATAATTTTGGTTCGACCTACTGTATTGTATTTTATACATTTTTTAAATAATTTGTTTAAATATTTACAATCTTTATTTATATATACAATAAGTAAAATTTAGGGCTTATTTATTTACAAAGCTGGTCGACTTGATCGAAGGGGGCGTCCATTGACACTACTTCAGATGTGTAAGTTAATATTTGATTAAACTAGTGTGTGATGTGGTTTTATTTTATATTTATATATTTACATTTGGGTTGAGAAGATCTCTGGGCCAGTTACCCTTAAGGCGGCGTCGTGGGTTGTCAGGGAGAGTGAGGAAAGATAATTTAGATATTAGTGGATTTTGGTGATTAAAAATAATCCTGAAAAGTTGATAATTTTGACTTATCACGTTTTTACCAACCATTGAAGATATATTCTTGACAAAACACACCTAATTTAACTTTATAATTATATTTTATATTTACTTAATATTTATAATTTTATAAAATTATAACACAATTGATTTTTAGAATGAGTTGAATTTGTGCATGAAGTCTAATAGTGAATATAATTTCTAAAGTGATATGTGTGACTTGAGGTACCTTCTCAAACAACTAAAATTGGATGCAATTTGAGTCCAGACATAATTAGTATTACTCAAAATTTTCGGCGTTCTGGAAAAAAAATTGTAAGATTAAGTATGCCACTTCATCTTTCAACAATTTTTTTTTTTCGTAAATACTAAACTGATGTTTACAGTTTGATTGTATGGAAAACTTTTGTATTGTACATTGATCTACTTGTAAAGCTAACACTGATTGAGTAAATTTCAATATCGTTTGTGAATATTATCTTAGAAACCGAATACCGAATACTTTTATATAAAATACAGAACCTGTTTGAAATATTTAATGACGATTGTTTAAAAACATGTTCTGGTTATCCTTACCTGATTAATTTAAAAACAATAACACCTACTTAATGTTAACTATTGATAACCATGTAAAAGAAGTAAATATTTGGTTTAAATCACCTGGATCGCCTATACTAACAATTTGTCTCAATTGTTATAGTATCCTTGTGAATGTTGCAATCTTTAAAAATATTTAATGTAAATCTATTTTATAATTTTCTATTATAGTTAGATTAGTTAATTAAATACAAGTATAAGACATATTGTTTTTACTCAATATATATTTTTGACATAACACACCGAATAAGTATAATAACTTTATATTTATAATTCGATAAAATTAGAATAAAATCGATTTTTAGATTGAGTGCAAAATAGTCGTGCATATAGTTTAATAGTGAATATAATTTCTAAAAAAACTGTAGGTGATATGTGCGACTTGAGGTACCCTCTCAAACAACTAAATTTGGGTGCAATTCGAGTACAGGCATAATTAGCATTAATCAATTTTTTCGGCGTTCTGAAAAAAAAAAACAAAAATTGTTCAGTGAATAGTCGAAAAATGAAGTGTCATCACGAAGCTATATTATTAATCAGCTGTATAAAATAAAGGTGCATAAACGGTATTTTTAAACCCCCTTTTCTTCTTCTATTTGTATTTTAAAATGTTTACACTTTTAAATAATTACTAAAATTCGTTTATTTTGTTAAATTCACAAATGATTTGAAGTAGGTAGTTACCCGCCTGAAGAACACTTAAGGATAGGGAAATAATTTTAAAACGTCAAATAAAATGGACAGCTACAGCTAAAACGAAAAGAAAACCTAAAACCAATACTTACATCTATTATCGCTTTTTCTGTATTTATCTGCTCCGGCCGACTAGTGCTCACATAAATAAACTGTTTCACGCTGAAGGTTTGAGGGTTCCGACTTGCTGTAATCGTCCAATAAGTTTGGCTGAAAAAAAGGTGATTGTAAAAAACATATATGAGTTAATTTATAGAATCTGATAGTTTTCTGATGTTTGAATGAACGAGACTCGAGCGTAAAAAAAAGTCTACCTTTTTAACGGCTTTGACGAGGAATTTGCACCTCAAGCCATTAGCGGTGACTATAGTGTTCGCCAGGTTCATTTTTGTATAGGACCAAGCCGTGTCATTTAAAAAATGTATCTTGTTACCGCGATGTTTGTATTTTTTTCCATAGTCGCTTGTTGTTGTCTCAAATGAGTTGGATTCACTTGCAGCTTCGGTGCTGTAAACCGACAATTATTTAATCAAGCTTAGTGATTACCATCGATGCACGAATATTGTAATCGAACCTGAGCATTATATTAACAAATAGATGTTCAAGTAATAATTTCAAACAACTTGTTATTTAAATAAAATTTTCCAGGTTCAATCCTAGGGGATTAGGTTGAATAACAGGTATTGAAATGATAATTAAAATAAAAAATTGTTTTAATAAATAATCGTCAATTTTCAATATAAATTGAAATAATTTATTAGACAGCATTGTGGGATCAGAGAGTCACGGATTTTTCGCATTTATCTTTACGGAAAGTTTTATTTTTCTTGATCAACAAATAATTATCACCAAAACAGGAAGATATTATTTGAACTTGGTAATTATTTAATATTCCTTAAGTAACTTAATGCGTTACTGTTTCACTCATTAGTGAAATACTACTAACGATATGTAAAGTTTATCTATAACATACTCACACTTCGTATACATATCTACGAAACAGATACATTGGTGGTACAGGCCAGACGATCCAACCAAAATCACCCTGATGTACCCAACGACCATGTGACGAATTTCTGGTCGATAACCGTGGTCTGTTAAGGCACAGGAACAACTTTCCTTCCACGACATTTTCATCGATCTTCAACTTGTTGGTTAAATACATTCGTGTACCATTTGCTTGCAACTAAAAATCATTAAGGGTATTACAATTAATAGTCATATATATATATATATATATATATATATATATATATATATATATATATATATATATATATATATATATATATATATATATATATATATATATTTTTTTTTATAAAGGATAGGGCGAAGGCAACTGACGAGATCTGAGGGCCTAATATCATATACAAATGTTATATTTTCTTTTATTACAATAAGACGTCAATTATAATGCTACATAATATAATATGAATTATAAAAAATGTTTTTGACTTTTAGCGACTTTTTAGAATTAATTTTTGATTTTTTTTTTTTAACTACATATTGAGATAATTGACATTTTTACGTTTAACAGTACGACAAAGTGTTTAAAGCGTTTACCAACGTATTTTATCAATACAACTGTCATCTAAACTAGACCTAACAAAACTACTGACTAAAATATATTATGATACGTTTTTATATCTTATGAACGAACAGTATATTAGTATTAAACTAACTGGAATTGTTTTGTTAAAAGTAATGCACCACGGGTACGATGGTATTTAAAAATTGTACAAGCCGTTATTATTCATATTCGAAGTATTAAAAACATAAATGTCGGACTTACTATTTTAAACGAGTTTCTCTGGGAGTCGGCATACTTATATTGTTGATCTGTGAAGCATAATGATCCACGCCCCTTAAAAGCTGAAGTCGTACGCACCATTACATCTTTCGTGAGACCTACGCCTTCTACTAACAATGTAATTTGGACGTATTGGTTGTTATCGACGATGGTAAAGTTGACAACGTTTGCTGATAGCACGGCATAAACATGGTCGCCGTGAGTATATTCGTGTTGAAGCCGAGATCCACCCGTGGCGGTACCAATGTCCAACCAAAGCAGTGCAACCGATAAGACAATATAGATTTTAAACATGATGGCGTTGTCGAATACCCAAAAACGAAACTGTTTTTATGGGGAATTCACTAAAAATGTGCAAAAGAAATTCGCGACCGAACGAGTAAAGTCTTCGTGATCGAATGACGGTCGCCAATGCTGGCGTGTGACACACACTCAGCCGACCCCTCTAGTAATAATTGTTTGACAGGCAAAGTCGTCCTGACAATTATTGCCGTTTATTAATCCATCCTGCGAGAAACGATAGTATTCATCGACCCTTCAATTTATCAACGGGTTCCCTTTGTTGGTATATCCGTTTGACCTCGTTTCCAGACCGGGACAATTAATACAAATTGAGCAGTGTGCATAAGCTATAACAATCTTTATTGTGATTTCTATAGCGTCGTATTTCCCATTGTCTGAACACCGGACGCCACGTCGGTGCAGGGCAATCCGGCACAGAACGAGTCATCGCAAAACATGTACTAAATCACATAGGTCTTTAAAAAACGTTTTTTAAGTCACTTCAAAAAAAAAAAATACACAAACATTTATTTTATCTCGATTTTATAGTAGTTACCCTTAAATCGTAATTAACAATATAATGTAAATAGATGTATTACCCGTTGACTACAAACAACAGCCTATAAGCGACTTGAGCGATTGAGATATTTTATTTAGTCGGCTGTATAAAATAAAGGTCCATTAACAGTATTTTTAAACCCCCTTTTCTTCTTCTATTTATATTTATAAATGTTTTCACTTTTAAATAATTACTAAAATTTTGTGAAATTCACAAATGTTTTTGAAGTAGTTATCCGCCTAAAGAACATTTAAGGATAGGAGCAATAATTGTAAAACGTCAAATAAAATGGACAGTTACAGCTAAAACGAAAAGAAAACCTAAAATCATTACTTACGCTGTTATCGCTTTTTCTGTATTTTCTGTAATATAATACTCGCGTTAAGTTAGATAAATTAAATAAATACCTCTACGCTGAGAGTCCGAGTTTCATTGAGACGACATGGTGTTATGCCTGGTCAGGTAGGTTGCCACAAGAGACTTTGCACAACTGCAAGGGTAACTAAAACGGTTTAAGAGTAATTTATTGCACAAATAGCGCGTTATATACGAAAATCGTATAGGATTTTTTTTTTAAATTTTATGTAGTTTCTTGGCCAATGAGCGTCGAAAACGACGTTTTGTAAGAAAAAGATTTGTTAGAATTTATTACTTACACATACTTCAGTGGGCATTTTCGCCAATTGTATATACATATGGTGGCCAGTTATAAAATTCCATTTTAAAACATGGCTCCTCCACCGTCATATAATTGGCCTATAAGTACTTTTACCAGCCATGCCATAATAGCAGCTTTAATTATATTTTATTTCCATCTATATAAATTGTTTTTTCTTTATCTGATTACTCTATTATCAACTACACCAACTAATTATTTTAAATTATAAATTCATTATAATGTGTTGAATTATTAAAATAAACTTCTTAGGTATGTGTGTGTGTGTGTGTTTCTTTACGATGACAATACTTTAAAATTTAACACATTTGAACATAATTCTCAATTGGTTCATCATTCACTCATTATTTCTGTAAGTGGTGCGGCCGCACCATCGCACATAGCCACGAGCCGCTACTGATAAATATTTTTTCTTTTTTGTTGTGCGATTTTTTATTCGAATAAAACGTTATTTGAATAATCATTTTACAGTTTATTTGAATAATGTTTTTTAAATTATTCGAATAAGAAAAATATTCTTACAAAAAATTGGTTAGAGGAATATTTACTGGTTTTTTATATTTTTTAAATGTAGTAAATATTAGATTTATACGAAATCATATTTTCAAATATAGTTACATTAAAAAAGTACTTAAAAACTATTTAAATACTATTTTTTTAAATTATTTTAATCATTTCCAATATTGTATTCGACCCATTCAAATATTATTTTCATATTACATACAATGTAACATATTACACACAATAATTAAAAAAAAACTTTTTTAAAAACATGCTTTTCTAAAAATAAAAATAGTAAAAAAAAATTTTATTACAAGAAAATTTACCAATCAATTGTAGCATATTTTATTTAAAATGTCAATTACTTTGAAAAAAAAACCCGAAAATTAACTTCAATTTTAAATAATGTTAAACAACTTTAAATTTTGACTAAAAAGAAAAGCGTGGGTCCTGTTCACCAAAGTATGTGTCCTATACAAATATTAAACTAAATTTAAATTACAAAAGATCTTACAATATAAAATATAACCTGATAAATTTATTACTATTTTTTTATTTTAAAAAAGCATGTTTTTAAAAAAGTTTTTTTAAATTAATTAATTTTTTTTTCTTTTTAGTCCTATTGAAGGTATTTAATAATTTCTGAATAGATTACTAAATTAATTTTGGAAGATTTTGAATAAAACATACAATTTTAGTAAAATGACTCCCACATTTGACCCTGTGTAGGGCGACCTGGATGTCAGAGTCTCAATATGATTACAGGATATTGATAACCTTCACTTATTGCCCTGGCTGGCAACACCAACCACAGGCTTGCGACCTAAAACAGACATAATATAAGAAACAATAAAATTATCTAACAATAAAATATCACATAAAACCAAAACAATACTTTTGAAATCAACTAAAATTACGGAGCAATTCGAAAATCCGAATACGTATAATATCATTTATTAAAATTAAAAAAATGTAAGATTCACTAATAATCTCATAAAAAACATCAAATCCCATAAGTGATAAGCTTTGATTTGTGTAGTATGTTGTACTAAATTGCTAGGATTCAGCGGTACATTTATTTATAACAGCTATTGAACTCCTAGCTTTTGGATTCCTAACAAGACATATCCGCGCGTTTCTTTATATTAACGTGTTGGGCGACAGTACATCAGAGAGCCGAGTATGGCGGACACACCAAATGTAGATAACTAAATGGCGATTGGTAATTAAATACTTACTAAGGCTAAAACCCAAAACGACGAGACTAAATCCATCACCAAACAAATTACAAAATGTATAACTGCACCGCATTATAAATTATAATATTACATAATGTATTGGCAGACAGTACTGCAGAGAGCATGGCGTACACACCGAATGTAGACTGTAGTTACGAGTAATTATTCTATATAATATTAAACTCGGGATCGTTTTTCGTAATTTTAATTTACTTATTTAATACCTAGTATAATATTTAAATGTTGTTCAAAATGCACAGTATTGTTTCCAGAATGTTTTTCGATTGTTCATAACAATTGTTGTCGCGCTAGGAATGTGAAACGGCCCAAAACCTAGTTAAAACAACGACTAACACATCAAAAATTAACTATATAATAATAAATAATAATATACGAAGCGCTGTACTTAAAAGAAAACCAAACAACGGCCATAATTAATTATTAACTAAAATTAATATCCATAGTGTTTCCTATAGTCATCAGTACATTCGTAGGTGATGATTTTAAGTGTGCTTTAGAAACATAATCGATTAAAAAACTATCTAGATTTCTGGTGGATTTGGTATTATTTGAAAATTTAATCGTTCCAGTAAATAAGGGCAATCGTTTCCGGGTAACAATCTATCATTTCGTCCATCATTTTTCGTTGTGTGTCCACCGTTTTAACGGTCGGTGGTCCGCTTTTATTATTAACTGTTTTTCTTCCATCTTGTTCCCACGATCGTCAAGGGAAATAAAGGTCCGCCGTGCCAGAGCCCCGAATGGCAAATCTATAGAGTTATTTAATAGTTTTAATATTTCGGGGGAAACCCCGTGATAACGGCCGTGTCAGTATTAAAAGTTCAATGATATGAATGTATTAAGCAGTTCAAATATTAATTTTACTATTTTTTGTATTGTAAAATAAATATTACAATAATCTACAAAAAAAAAATAATTAAGCTATTATAATCTAGAAACTATAATTATTATTTTTTTTATTAAAAAAACAATTTTAATACGAAGATGATTACTTACAATAATATCAGCTGAATCTCATTTATAGCCATTAAGTTTTAAATCCGAATTAGTATCTTGATGTTTCAAACAAAAATTCTTTTACTCTAAAAGTCTATAAAGCATTTTATATAACGCCACTCGTTCCACCGAGTGGCGTTATTAATAATATCGTATATACAATTTGTTTTCTTTAGCCAACTCGCATATTTAGGTGTTCTTAGTTTTTTAACCATCTATTGAAATATGTTTAGTTATAAACATTATAATAAACAATAGTGTTAATTAATTTTATTTGTCTCGCATTGGTGATACATCCAGCTATTGGAGCAGATTTTAATCCGTCTAAAATACATAACTATAGTGTATGCACTGAACATCTCCCACAGTTTGTTAGCGTCGGTTTAATTGTATTTAGGACGTATTGTTCGAGTTGATTAGTTTCTTCATTTGTTACATCTATAAAAAAAAAAAAAATGTTTTAACGCTATCCAAGTAATTAAATTATACTAATAGAAATTATTTAAAACTAAGATCTAGGTCTGAAAATTAGACCAAAGATATATCTAGAATAAAACTAACATTTACAATTTTTTTTTAAAAATCTGTAGTCAACATTTTTTTTATTAAGGAAAATAATGAACGTTGTTTAAAATACTGTTCGAGTCATGCGCGCGCAATAGCTAGTGTAATAACGCAGTGCCGCCCCCAACGCCTACCCGGTTTTTTTTTTTTTTTTGTGTAATAACGTTTTTGGGGGAAATGAGTAGATTTTTCCAAATCTTACCCCTCTATGTAAAGTTAGTAATAAGTTATCGTCTTCAGTGGAACAACCAAGATGTCGTCAGCATATCCCAGTGTTATTGTCTCTCTTGTTAGGGGCAATCTAAGCACCGCATCGTATGCTATGTTCCAAAGCAATGGACCAAGTA